GATTCGACGGGGCAAGAGGGAGACTTTGATAGGACCCAGGTAAGGACTACGTAACAATATGACAGACTCTAATCAACATTCTCATCACAAGGGTGAAGGGGGTGATAACGACAGTGTGGAGTGTGAAGGATTTTCATGAATACCGCTCGAAGGGGCACACGACACTACATTAGGAATAAGCACGGTAAAAACTGTGACAGGAAAGGCATGATAGGAGGATATAGGAAATGTGAATAGGCCAGGGCATAAGGCGAGATACCATAACAGTTTAGCACACGTTTGGTCAAAGGATGGGCTTCACTTGTCCCTTTGACGAGTTGTAATATGGTCCTACGAATGGCGAGACTCACTGACGATGCCAACTACGATGCCGGCGAAACGTCTGGGAATGCACCGCGTCTACAGTCCGACTTTGGAAATAATTATGCATACAATGGACTCAGGACAAGGTTCGTTCCTCTAAGACTTCCTACCAATATAACCGGGTTGAGAAAACAAGGTCAAACAACCGCTTTACAACGAAAGGAGACTGCGACCACACAAAAGGCCATACCATCTTGGTCTTGATACCTTCGATTAACCTAAGTGGGCCTGTTTATCGTCTATTTGCTTATCTGCTTCGAAACGAAGTTAAACTTTTAAATAAACGTTTTATAATTATTCCTTCTTTGATTCTAATGTGCATACTCAGAATCTATCGACTTGCCGCAAATAGACCGAGATAACGAACAATTCTGCTCCTCCTCTACCTCCTCCTCATTCATCTTGTCTTCGTCTTCATCATCGTGTTCTTCTCCTCCTGCCGTGATGGTGTCTGGCCATGTGAACAAACGACTCACATCTGCTCAAGGACTCGGCAACCAGGACTCGCATTTTGCTTATCCTGAGTCGAGGCCTCCGACTTGTGTTCATCTTGAGTCCAACTTCAACGGCCATAATCTACATTCCCATCATCAGGCTTATCAAGAAACATGTGACCAACTTCATCTTAAAAATCAGATTATAACGACAAGCGATGCTGGTTCACTCCCACTTTCGCCTTCGTTTGCAGCAACGCCATCTGGCTTGACGGAAAGCCCTAGGCCTTTTCCTTCGCCAACGCCAGAAGATCTCTACTCGGACACGCAGCAGCAGCACCACCAACAACAACAGCGAACCTCCTATGCTCAATCTGGGAATCAGGGTCTTAAATCTCGGCAGCCTCAGCGCCACTTACGACTGCCACAAGGAAACGAAGAGACCCGACTGCAATCGAATATCCATTTGCCCACCAATAGCTCAACAGGCGTCATAGGCGCTGTAGTTACTACCACTGAAGACAATATTTGCTCCACTAGCCCTAACACCAACACAACGGCAACCATTACTACAGTAACTAATACGTCCTCTAATTTCTCAACTTGGAAAGGACATCCTCACCATTTGACCCTTTCCAATTTCTCACAAACTCTTCAGACCGATCAGCCAGGGTTATGTGAACTACCCAAGCAATTTCCCAAGAGTTACGAATGCTGCTTAAATCCAGATTCCTTACTGGGGAATTTGGCTACTGGTGAAATTAGAGCGCCTTGTCCTTCCAGTGGGCACTCGGAGTTTGTGCTATCTGAAACCCAGCTGGCAGGCTGTTATAAGAGTGCACCTGTGGCAACTGATAACAAGTAGGTCCTTTTTAGACTTTGAGTTCCGTTCTTCTGAGTCTTTGTGTGTCTTTCTTTATGAGCACTTCTTATATATATTCATGAACAATTGTTCATAATAAAATGGAGAAATAAAGAGCTGATCAAAGATCACTTTTTAAGAATGTAATTTTTGGTCATTTACTATTGCATAATAATGTTGGTAAACTTGGCTTCGGATAAACACATAGGGTCTTGGTAATTTTTGTCAGGGAGACTCAGTAGAACGCACCTAGTCCGAAGTCGTCTACCATAGTGGACTTGTCTGATGCTGGGAATTATGACAACTACTATGGCAGATAACTTCGGACTAGGTGCGTTCTACCAAGTCGCCCTGAGAACAAGACCAAGTTGTAACAATGATGTCAACCCACTTCTATAATTCGAAAGGAGACTGCGACCATACCAGAAGCCACATCATCTTGATCTTCATTTTTTCTTGGCAATTTTATTAGCCTTACTTCATCTATGGACGTTATCGGAATTATTCTCATTAGAATGATTTACTTTTTTATGTTTATTTATCCATCTAATATACTGGAGGAATACTTTAAGCTCTTCATTGACATTTGATTTTTTATGACCTATAAATTGGCTAACAAGAAGCCCCCAACTGCTTTATCGAGCGGATTTTTATGGTTTTTCAAAAACAAGAGTCTGATTACGTAAGCTCGTGGCAAACAATGTAATGAATGGTCTGAGCATTTCGAAAAAAATTATTGTTATTTATAAATTGAACATTAACCAGGTTTTTGTGATGATACCACCAAAACTACACGTCAAGTGGAGCTAGGTAGGAGGCAGAGTTAGCAATGAAAAGTTGTGCTTCGATGACTCTCTAGGTTATACTTGCCTTCTAAGGTATGAAGACCAAGATGGTGTGGCCTTTTGTGTGGTCGCACTCTCCTTTCGTTGTATAGAGGTTATTTGACCTTGTTTTCGCAACTTGGTCATATTGGTAAAAAGACTTAGAAGAACGCACATAGTCTGGAGTCCATTGTATGCATCATCATTTTCAGAGTAAGACCGTGGATGGGGTACATGTTCTACTTGTTCACTTCCGCTTTGAGCGCGTTTTTGGTTATGAGCTTTGAAGATCAATGACACCAGAAGACGACGGCGAATTCCTAGTATTAGATTAGCTTTTGCCATTCTCAAATGGAAATAGAAAGTATGCACAATGTTTGCTTTGATATTCCTAAAGTACTTTTCTTTATAGGACAGCCCTTTTATCTTCGTTCAGTGTAAATTTATTAGTTCTCATGCAAATATTGGCGAAATTTTTTGGCCTGAATTATGAGAAGGTTTATTATCCGAGTGTAATGACCAATATCCTATAAAAATGGATCAACCAAAGTCGACAATATGACTCATTATAAAACCGAGCCGCGAATCCTTATTTCCTATTCTTGAGGCGGTGATGATTAGGGTGGGAAAACCTTTTTCTGTCTTCCAAACTAGTGCTTCCCTACGTTTTATGAATTTTCTTCCATTTTTTAAAGTATCAACTCACATTATCTACAAAGTCTGTCCAAGTTTATTGGCATGTTACTCCCCTTCTCCGAATAAAGAAAGGATAAGAGGATATAAAACAATTCCTGAAGGTTTTAATGTAATATTTTTGAATAAGTGAGAGAGCGAAAATTGCTGAGTGGCCTTTGGTCTAAAACATTAGAAATATTCATTTTTAAAGATGATGTGGTTATAAGGCAACTGAATCATCAATGTCTCACTGCTTAAGATGAATCAGGTTGATCGAGATTGCATTACGTTCACACGACCTGGGTCCAAAGTGTCCAAATCTAAAGTTTTAATGTAGAGTTTTAGCAAACTTGGATATTATGTCTTCTCGGCGACCTATAGCTTCTGGTTTCTATGTGAAATGCGATATACCTATATATAAAATTTTTATGGCCACTGGCAGTAATAAGCCAAAGTCATGGAACCATGGAACCGGGAGTGTGAAGCTAGTAGATGGAAGCCTAGTAACATTAATATGTGCATCAGTAGCGAGTCAGCGCTCAAAGTAACTGCTGTCTGCCCCCCGGAAAAATCGCGTCTTAGCTGAAACGAATAGGCGAAGAGATTTGTCCAAGTTCCGATTGAGTAGCATTTAGAGGTCTACGCTGAACTATTGATCATAAATATTTTCAAAAGAATATTTTATTATGGCCTAGCCAGGGCCAGCTTTGCCGATCGCCTATTCGGGGCCACTAGCGAGCTAGACATTAGGGCTTA